ATATAGTTGCATTCTTTTTTCTAATACTTATTTATTTTTTGCTGAATTGAATTTGCATCCAAGATTTCATTAAGCTTCTAGATATATATTGTTTTTAATAATATCAGATAGCTTTTTTTTACAATTCTTACTTCTAAATGTTAAAATTTACATATTTGATATTGGTCATAAAAAATTTTCCATTGTTATCTGGAAAATCTGGAAAAATCAAAGAATTTCAAAATTAATTTTCTATGGCAATCTTGAACTATAAAGTTATAATTGATAATTAATTATTTTATTAGATTTGATAGGCATTAAATGAAATCATTTGAAGAGCACGCTTCCAAAATGCATTTTGTCCAAAATTTCATTTTTTGAGATGGTATAGTGTGCAGTTAATTAAAGTTAATCTTACATTGATAGAACCAGACTTTAGTGTCATATTTTCTCAGTTATTCAATTAACCCATTAATTACTTGAGTTATTTAAGCAATAAAATTCATTCCGCGTAATGTATTGTTCCACATCCCGTGCTATCCTATCACATCCAGTTGAAAGACTCGTATTGTAAGCTACTTTACGATGTACTGAAAGCATTTTTTCATCATCAGTTTATATACTAAAAAAGAAAGAAAATAGACATTCGAAGTGCATTATATCCTTTAATTAGAGACAAATAAAATGCATTTGTTTAACATTATTAGAAATAATTTTGCAATTTTGATTAACATTTTATATCTTACCGATTGACAAATTGTTATTTTCTGTAAGGCGCGTGGTTTCCTTGTGGTTTTCTTTCTTCTTTTTCTAAAAATTATAAATTTTGGACAAAATGCATTTTGAAAGTCTGCTCCTCAATTCCATTATCACGTTCCAATAGTCGAAGAAATTTACTTATTAGAAAACTAGATATGATAAAAACTGACTCTTAGGGTCACTTTAACATACGTAATCGACCGATTAGTCCATTGGAATTGACTAATCGCATTTGTCATTTCATTTGATAAAGTGATCTTAAATAGACAAGATAAACGTTACTAGATTAAGCCTGGTTCCACCAATGTAAGATTAATTTTAATCTCAGTTCAATTTACTCTTTATCTTTTTTAATTCTAAGAATTAGAAAAACGAACAGTAAGTTAAACCGAAATTAAAGTTAATCTTACATTGATAGAACCAGACTTTAGTGTCATATTTCCTCAGTTATTCAATTAACCCATTAATTACTTGAGTTATTTAATTAGCAATAAAATTCATTCCGTGTAATGTATTATTCCACATTCCGTGCTATCCCATCACATCCAGATCCTGTCGAATCCTCGTGACACGTCTGCATCCAACAACGAAGTTCGCTACAAGAATTTGAACCAACGATTTTGAAAAATGGCAGGAAAGAAGAAAGGCAACAAAAAAGTAAAGAAAGAGGAGAAGAAGATCGTGGATGAGTATCAATTACGTAGAGACCTGAGGGGGGCAAAGATGACAAAGCCCACGGACCTGATGCAGGATACTGCGATGCCTACGCAAGTCGAGCCACAATATTCCGAGAATATTAGGATCGGTGGTATAGAAGGGTGAATTTCTCTTTCTCTTAATCATGTTTAATTAATTCAATTAATTAAATCTTCTTATGTGCGTGCATTCCTGTAATAAAGAAAAATTTTGTTAAATTCTCGAAACAATTCAAATTTATCTATGATTATATACATATATGCAAAATAATGTAAATATTAATATGTTGCATTATTTTATGAGCTATAGGAAGCATGCGATGAAACATGCAAGATTATCGAACGTTATCGGAAATACTGGAACGCGGTTATGTCATAGTCTGTCACTTTTATGAAATGTGTTATGTCATACTCTCTGTCACTTCTTATTTTCTGTAAAATTAAAAAATTAACCGGGAATCCGGGAAAACCCGGATGATAAAAATCTTGTGAATTATATATCTCACTTTTGTTTCGTCTGCGATTTTATCTGTCAAACCCAAATCATGGCACAATCGATAACTACTGTCAATCCAAGGATTATTGTTGATCGATAATTATTAAATATACAGTTCGAATATTTTCGTTGCTTATTTCGCAATGCTCTTTGTAGCGTTTCGCAGTGTTTGCTCTTGCTTTTATTGTAATATTTATCTTATCATGACGCAGTTACGAAGATTTAAAGCAATTTTGCTTTCATCGAGGAAGAGAAACGCAAATATTCGTGCTGTAATTCACAAAACTATTATCGTGTAGATAATTAAAAAAATATTCAAGTTAATTTTTTAAATACGAAGTGAGATGCAACAAATACTTCACGAATCACTATAATTGGCAAACTGTAAAAAAAGAAACAAAATTATATGCGATTAAAACTTAAAAAATACGAAATACAATCCACATCTTATCGCGTGATAATATTTCTGAATCGGAAGTGGCTGTAATAATTTAAACGAATAATATCTGATATTATTCTTTTTCTCTCTCTTTCTTTCTAAAAACATAAGCGCTTTAATATTTATCATTTTATAATTATATAATATTAATAATTTCTTTATTTAGGATATCTCGAAATTTCTACAATCGTACGAGAGAAAAAGAGAGAGATATAGAATATTTGAGACACAGATAACAGCAATCAGCGTTCATTAAGCAGTCGAGCTTAACTATGACAGATCATGCATATCTCCCGCTGAGTGGATATGTTGATATGCATCTTTATTTGTTAAGAAAATAATCGAATCACTAAATAAGAGACAATGTAACTGATTATGTAATTGATTGTGTTATACATACATTAAAGTGATTCAACAAAAAGAAAAAAATTTAGATACATAATATTCACGGAATTCAACAAGAAATATTTAGTTAAGATCCGTGTAATTAATCACTTTACTCGTATTAATCATCAATTAATTAACTTTCAGAGGCGCTACACACTCCATACTCATAATACTCGATGGAAAAGGTGCGAAGCTAACAGAAGTTAAAGGACCACACACTAATCATTGGGTGACTAAAAAAGATATACAAATGGTTTATTTTTAAAGTGCTACATGAATCAAGGGGAAAATTTCAACAAGATTTTTAAAACTAAGTCTGCAGCACTTTCAAAATAAACAATTCAAATAATTACAGAAATGTTTTGCCTGCTGGAGAAAGTGATCACAAAAAAGAATGTAGAAATTTGGTTTATTTTTAGGTAATTGGAAAAGACGAGACAGCTGCCAGACTCAGCGCGATGATAGAGAGGGGTAAACAAATGCTAAATATACCGGAAAATATTCCTTTAGATTGCGTAGTGAGTATTTTCATTATTAATAACACATAATTACATGTATTACACACACACACACACACACACACACACACACAAAATTACTTGTAATATTATAACTGCAAAATATTAATAATATAATAATACAAAAATATTAATAATTAATAATATAATTATAAACATAATTAACAATCCTAAATGACACATAAATACCATATAAAATTATTTTGAAATAAACAGTCTAATTTATTCTATGGCACTCTCAAATTTCGAATTTTCGATTAAATGGAATCAACTTTGATTTTCGAAAAAAAGAATTAATTTAGCGATTTTTTTCATCAATAGGCACTTACTTTAAGCGGTTGCGAGGAGGAAACCATCAATCGTGAGATTGTGGAAACTTTGTTGAAAGAATATCCGCAGTCTGCCAAAGATTACGTGATTAGTTCAGATACTCTTGGTAGTCTTAGGACTGGACTGGAATCCGGTGGGATCGTGTTGATCGCTGGAACTGGCAGCAATGCTTTACTCATCAATCCGGACGGAAAGATTCACACTTGTGGAGGATGGGGACACATAATGGGCGACGAAGGAGGAGGTATACATTGTTTACTATAAAAGAACATAATATGGAAAAATTGGTTTCAGAATTAAGTTCAAAACGTTCAAAATCAGCTTTATTAGATTTTGGATAAATAAAAATAGAAAGAAGAAAAATAAATAGTAGACTAGTTTTAGAATCCTTAATTTAATTTTATCTTGTAAGAGAGAGAGTAAAATAAAATTTGTAAATAATATTTTATTCTTTTAATTGAAAATGATCTAAATTCTCATTTAAATAAATTCCTTCAATAATTTACATTTAAATTATTGACACTAGCTACTATTAATTATTTTCTCTTGCTTGTTTTAAGCTTACTGGATCGCCTATCGTGCCTGTAAATATGTATTCGATGATATTGATGGATTCATCGAAGCACCAGAATCAATAAGTTACGTTTGGCCGGCAATGAGAAGTTATTTCAATGTGACTGATAGACGCAGTATATTACAATACGTGTATGCAAACTTTGACAAAAGCTTTATTGCCGGTTTCGCCAAAGAAGTTGCAATCGGCTGCGAGAGGAGCGATCCACTGTGCCTGAAAATCTTGGAGGAAGCTGGACAACTTCTGGCGAAGCATATTATCGCTGTTTCGAAAAAGGCGCATAATGTTAGTACCTTTTAAAATCAAACGATTTAAACAATAAGAATATTATTTTAAACCGTACATGTGAGAACACAATCAATACGAACTAGAAATTAAATGCCTATAACGGTCGAAGATCTTTAATGTTTAAATAATTCAATGTGAATTATATATATGTACATGCATATATATCATATTTAAAAACGATTTAATTTATGTGAAATAAAACTTTGTAATAAAAAAATATTTTAAAATGCCAATAATTTCATTTAATTGCATTTTTCTTTCAGGATCTTAAACTGGCTCACGGCGGTTTAAAGGTGATCTGTGTCGGATCCGTATGGAAATCGTGGAAATTTATGAAAAATGGTTTCATAAACGAAATCCACAATAGGAATGTTGTGGACGAGTTGAGTTTACTGCACTTGACAACATCATCGGCATTAGGCGCCTGTTATCTAGCCGCAGAGAAGATTAATTGTCCGTTCGTCAAGCCATATGATAGCAACGTCGAGACTTTTTTTCATTACAAGCGCGATCACTATCCGGAAACGCAAAAGACAGAACATTCGATAGAATTACAAAATCATACGTCTGTCTACAATAGTGCTCAGGTTGGAAACGAAGAAAGAACATGATAAGATATAAATAAATAAGAAAATTTTGAAAAAAAAACGCTAGCGTTTTTTAGTCAGTGCTGAAATACGTTATCTGCAAATATTATAAAAGTAACAAAAATAAATTATCTCGCATGATTATTAATCGGAAAGATCTAAGTTCCTGATTGAAGCGATTACGAAGCACAAGTGTAGAAGATCTAAATATACGAATGATAAACTACGCAGATCTGCAAAAAAATGAAAAATCGTTTTTGTAAAAATTAATAAGATTGTAAATATCGATTTAACATGTACATATATAAATTTTTACGAAATTAATATAATAAAAGCAATGTAATAAAATCTTCTTGAGCACATGCTGGAGAGTGATGTACTTAGGATTATTTTATCCTTAACAAAAAATTAACAGGGTCATGGTGGAAGAAGATAAGTAGAAGATAGATATACAAGAGAACCAAGTAATTTTTTATAGCGCAATCGAGATTTGGATTTTGTTTCCTTTATACGCACCAAACTTCATAGTAATAAAAGAATGGGACTAAAAGCCATCTGGAACACGGCTTGGAGCTGCGTATGGTTGATTTTCAGTCTATTCATTAAAATTGTATTGTATTTGTGTTTTTTTATTTTCGGCTGCGTATTCTTCGCGGCTTGTATTGGTGCGATAATAATCCTCATTTTGTACATTTTTGGCTTTCTACCGAGAAGCGAACGCAGATGATTAAAAGATCCACAGATGTATCATATCTGGTAAGAGATGTAACAAAATTATCATTAGTGTTAATTAATATATATAATACAAGAGAAGCGTTTTAAGAAGCTTATCGTTGGCGTGAAATTATGTGGCAATGTATTTTTGAAAAATATATTTATATCAGGATATCACAATTTATCTCGTGTACATTGCAGCAACACACATATACAAGTATAATATCTTTCTCTCTTATTTACATGTAGACTCTGACTAAAGCTGAACCTATTATAATTCATATAGTTGAGTTTTTTTTCATTAGAATCTTGTTTTTTAAAACAAATTTTTAACGACATAATTATAATTCTATAATATATATAATATACATATATAT